GGGAGTCGCCAGTCGACATTATTTGGCCGACAGCACCCTGAGGAGGCCCTCTCTGGGAGCATATCGGTCGGTGGGAGGCAGTCAGTGGCAGCAGGCAGTTCTGTAAAGCAGAGAATATATAAGGGTGAAGTAATGGTGAGGTAAACTTATCTAAGGTCAAGGTGACATTAGACAAGGTGCTTAAGCTAAGGCAGTACTAGGAACTATGTGGTTGACTATGTGGTGACTCAGCTATCAGGAAAAGGAGGTGACGATATTCGATAGGTGATATATAAAATTTCATTTATGATTCTATAACTCTTAACAAAACATTAGATCAGGGGTGAAATCTAAAATTTGTTACTACTGGTTCTGTGGGTGTGGCTTGGGTAATGTGACTGGGTGGGTGTGGCCAACTTTTTTTTTTAACTTTTAAAGGCATTTTTTCTACAACCTTAAGAGGTTGCAGAAAAAAATGCTTTTGGAAGCCTCTGACGATCAGGCAACTCAGCTGGGATCGCCAGAGGCTTTTAAAGGCATTTTTTTCCCCTACAACCTCTTTGGCCGAAGAGGTTGCAGAAAAGAATGCTTTTAGAAGCCTCTGATGATCCCAGCTGAGCCGCGCGATCATCAGAGGGTTTTTTTTACTTTTAAAAGCATTTTTTTGGCTGAAGAGTCGTAAAGTGACAGAAATTGAAGTAATACTTATAAATATATGAGAAAGAACAGAGGAAGTATTAGAGGAAGATTCTAATTAAATTATGCTAACAAAAATAGAAAACAACTTAGCGGAGTTGAGTCCACATGGCATTACCAAAGAATGGAGACTTAAATATGCAAAATAATAGGAATATTTTTAATTTCATGTGCTTGCAAAATAACGATTAAGATTACTGAATGGAGAGTAAAGCAAAGGAGATGCCAGATACTCAACTTGGTTTTAGAAAAGACCCAGAAGCAAAAGGCATTATTATAAACTGGCTCCTGGGGAACAAAGGTGAGAAACAAGGCTGTCTATTCTCTCCCTATTTACTCATCCTTGAATACGTATTGAGAGAGGCTGGAGTGGAAGACAATGGCACGGTTCTAAACATTGGAGGAATAAGTATTAATACGGATAGTCCTCAGACAGTGACCATGTGCAGTTATGATGACGATGGTGAAAAAGTAACTTTGCAATTAGTCCTCGCATTTACAACCTTTGCAGGATGTAAAGCAAAGGAAAGCTGAAATAAGATTGTAAAACCAGCTGCAATTTCACTTAGCAACTGCTTTGCTTAATAACCGAGTTGCTGGTCCTAATTATGGTTGCTAAACAAGGAATACCTGTAACCTGCACTATGCTGATGACACTACTCTTGACAGCTGAAAGTGTGCCATAGACAAGGAATTTGCACAGTAGCAATATAGGCCTTGGAAAAAGATACTGAGATATTGGAATGCACCAATACCTACAAAGGTCAGAATTGTGTTCAGCAGTAACAAAAAACAATTTTTTATAGATTGTTATGAAAAGTAATAGCAATAGCAATAACATTTAGACTTATATACCGCTTCACAGTGCGTTACAGCCCTCTCTAAGCTGTTTACAGAGTCAGCCTATTGCCCCCAACAATCTGGCTCCTCATTTTACCCACCTCGGAAGGATGGAAGGAGGGAGTCAACCTTGAGCCTGGTGAGATTTGAACTGCCAAATTGCAGGCAGCCAGCAGGCAGCAGAAGTAGCCTTCAATACTGCATTCTAACTATTGCACCACCACGGCTCTTAAACGGCATTTATTATTTTATAACCCGTTCTAGCACTAGAAGACAACTAATTCTTCATAGAATATTACACTTGTAGATGTTTATTAGAAGCAAGTAAGAAGTAAACAAGTTGTTCAAGACCATAGAGAGATCTGGAATTCCAGTTCAGGGGTGTCAAAGAAAAACTACCTTTTTGTGACACAATTTCAAATTAAAATCAATTCTACAAAAAGTATTACCAATATTTTATATCTATCTGATACCTCTGAGGGTTTTTTTTTTAAACTAATAAGAAAAGAACGGAAATGGTTATGGCATGCTTTTACGGTTGGGAAAACATGATACTACAGTATAAAGTTGGAAGGTTATCCATTGTTAAACAGTGATCTGAAAAACTCACCTCTGTAGCTTAACAAATATTTTGCCAACAGGAGCTACATATTATGCTCAGAAATTTAGACTGAACATGCTAGCTTATATCCTTAATTTATCATATTTTCCCATCTTTATGTAAAAGGACCTAGACATTAATAATTTATTGTATAACATGGTTATATAGATATATTTAGTTTGTTTAAAATACAAGAGAAGTGAGGTTTTGAGAGAAAGAGAGAGATAAAAATATATTTGTGGTGCACAATGCCAGACAATTATGTTCTCTTCCTACGTAAGGGTGGTGAGAATGACTTCTTTGCCTGTGTGCAACATGTAAATTTGTTGTCATTATGTAGCATAGAGTATAACATTTTTTAAATAGATAATCTCATAGGACACATTCATGTTCCATTTCTGCTGTGTACTGAAAAGCATTAGAACTGAATCAGCTTCCTATGCCTATTGCTATTCACAAGTTGAACGGGGTGGCACACAGTTCCATCCTAGCACATTTCACGTTGTCATTTGACCAACATTGAACGTGCCCTTGTAAAGATGAAGAGAAACTTGTTCCAAAAGCAGGTAATGGTTTGAGTGCCAGCCCATTCAACTATGCTTTGGAGCCAAAGAGGGAAAAAGGAATTCAACAACAGTTGAGGCATAATGATTTCTTAAAAGAGTGAAGGAGAATTTCAGGTTTCCAGGGTTACATGGTGATTCACTGTTGGGACTTAGGAAAAGCTTCTGATTACTCTCTGGTGGTCTTCTGGTTGGTTTTCTGAATTTCTTTGGCCAATAGATCTGTGAGGTCATCTCCAAATGATTTGGTATAACAAAAGTCTAACTAGTCATTTAAATAATGTTAAATGTTAGGCAGCTTCATTCCAAGCGCAAATAACATTTACTTAGTTTTCCAGCTCTTTATATAACATATTTTCTATGTACTTATTTATTTATTTTAGGAAAGAGACATGTCTGTATCATTCCCTTCCATACTAAATGCTATATATACTGTCACCAACATTTAGGCTTGTAATATTGCCTCTTCATACACTATGTATTCTGTGCAGATACTTGGCATGTGTGCCTGAAGATGTTGATAGTTTTTTTTAATCTTCTGAGGTGCCCTTTCAGTTTGTTCAAATTTCCTACACGGGACATAAGACAACAGTGATTTTCAGCAGAAGACGATACCTGTTTAATTATCTAAACATTTAGATTAAAGCAGCATATTCTATACTGCCATTACATCAAACATTTGCAGATGGTACATGAATAAATAACTTTAAGCACTGGGCTTAGTGAGCATATATTAATTCACAGATAGCTGACAGAGCAGGCAAGTTTACTGTTAAACTCTGAATGGGTACATTGCCATGATAAGCTTTCAAAAATACATATTGGGTGTGATACAAGTTACATTAACCCACTTCATTCTGCATTAATTGATGACATGTTTGAAATCTAAATGTTGTGACTGATGTTTTCCAACCTTTTTAAAAATTTATGTTTATGTTTTGTGAACTGATACATCCTCCAATGTACTTAAAGTTGCATTCTGAATCCATTTCATGTGTCTGAGAAAGCAAGTTAATTGACTGAAAGCTTATAAGAAAAACCATATTATCACAAGCAATTTGAGGTGTTTGTATATATTGCCGTCTACCATTGAATTCAAATCTAAATAGTTTTCTACATTTAAAGACGGCTGTTTTAGGCATCCGAACTATGGATAATATGTTCCCATTTATTGTATAGGCTCTTTCTCTTTGACAAAAAACTGCTTTTCTCCATGTAGTCCATAAAATATTAAATGATTGTTGGGGAGAAAAAACCACAAAGACAGGCAAATTGTTAGTGTCTTCCAAATATAATAACAGAGCACATTTTAAAAATACCCATATTTCTTAGAAACAGAACTGTAGTTATGTTCGAGCTATCTCTCCTATGCTTGGTGGTAAGCTATGTGTATTGCTTTTTAAGAGACAGCTCATTTTACATGCCAATCTTCCATACCATTTATTTTCAGAGCAGTAACTGTGCCGAAACTATAAATTACGATTTATCCTATCAAGAAGTAAGCCAATTTGATGCATTTTCTGTTTATTTTTTTTCAGGAGGAGCATGAAAAGAAAAGCAATGTTCACATGTCCCTTCAATGGTGACTGTAAAATTACCAAAGATAACCGGAGACACTGCCAAGCTTGCCGGCTGAAGCGTTGCATTGACATAGGCATGATGAAAGAATGTGAGTAAATGTGCTCCCTTCTCTTCTTTATACAGAAGATTTTGGGCATCTTTCTTGAAAAATATTATGAAAATTCCAGATTGAGGTTTCCAGGCACTTGTTCACTCAATCTGTCTGCCTGTGTCTCTTTCTTTCATTTAATAGGATGCCTCACACTCTCCTGCTAATGTAGGTAAAATATCCCCACCTATTTTCTTTATAGAGATTATTATGCAGTTATCAAAAAATTTGACGAATACCACATAAGCCAAGAGTCAACATTACGGCACCCGTGGGAACCATCACACACTTGGCATCATTGGCATACAAAATTATGGCTATTACCTGAAATCTTATAAAATTTGGAGTAATAAATGCCAAACACCATAGGATTTTAGGTGAGAACATCACCAATCTTGTAAGCTTGGTGCAATTTCATTATTATTTTTTTCTAACATTGATATCCATACCAGGAACTTCCTGCAGTATTTGTTGAGACTACCAATAGTAGCTGAGACACAGGTTGCATATTCTAGTCCCACAGGGAAATGTGTTTTTGTAGCAGTGCTGATTTAAAAGCCACAGGTGCCTGCTTAACTTTTTAGCTTCGTGATTAAGAAAGTTTTAGCTCAGGATGAAAAAAAGTTTTATTTAGTTTCATGATTACGATTAGTCGAGGAGAGAAAAAAATCAGTTTTATTCAGATGGAAGGGCTGTAATGAATCAATAGGCGGTTTAGAGTTCTGAAACACTTCTATTCATTTGTAGTACTTTCAGATGCTTTTGAGTGTGATGACACAGGGGCAAAACAATATATTGTTGATCCTATTAGACTGCAGCAGAGAAATGCAGTCTGGAGAAAGGAGGGCTGAACCCAAAGCAGGCTTCTTGTTCATGAGGTCTACGTAGACTTCCTGGTTTGGCTGACAAAGTCTTCAGGTTATGACTATGGTAAAAATAGTAATGATTTTTAAAAAACCAATTATTGTACTATCAAGGACCTTTGCTTTAATTATGACTTTAAAACACAAATATATATATTACCACAAATTCACTTGAAATCAGTTCCTCTCTATCTTGTTTTGTCTCAGCTGCAGCTATAGATTTCTGGAGGGCAGAGAATTATTGTGCTGTAAATGCAGAGCCTTGCTTCCTAAATTTTGAGCATTCTTTTTCAGAAAACTAGGACCACCAGGTCTGGTCAGCAAATACCTGACAGCATCATATTTCTGTGGCAGCACAGAAAAAAAGGCTACCATACAGTAGTTCCATGGAATTCCTGTAGCTCAAGTCTGGTAACCTTGGAAGTAATATCTAGCTTTCCTGAATTTAGAAAGAATTAGACATCAGAAGAAAAATTAGTGATCTGGGGAAATGACCAGTGAAGGGTATGTTACAAAAAGTTGGCAACAAATTATTAAGTTTAATAGGTTAATATTCTAGAATATTAACAAGAGGAAGCAGTGGCTTGGATTTCACAGGGCTTGGATCAGATGGCTCTGGAGACTGTGTAGAAGTTTTTGTGGGAGCAAGTACAGGTCTTATGTTGTCTGTAATGTACTTAAGTTAGATCAATGAAGACTCCATGTGTTTGAGGCCAAACGTACATTAGACCTGGACCTTTTACTGCAAATGGGGAATGTCATGGGAATGCATCTTAATAGAGATACCCAAACTGTTGCCGCTGTATTACAAGCATTCCACTTTGTAGGATATTCATTTGAGTATATTATTCTTCATCTAGCAGTTAAGGCACCAGGCTAGAAACCAGAAGATTGTGAGTTTTAGTCCTGCCTTAGGTGTGAAAGCTGACTGGGTGACTTTTGGCCAGTCATGCTCTCCCTAGTCCATGACATTAGGTCAATCAATTCTTGTTGAAACCAATGGATCTGAAAAAGGTGGATCCCGCACTTGCAGGAAAATGCTAGGAAGAAAAAAAAAAGAGCTCAAAACTGCCATGTAATATTTTAGCTCTTAAAAACATTTTTTTTAAAAAAATTTGATTTATATGCCGCCCTTCTCCGGAGACTCAGGGCGGCTTACAGTGCGTTAAGCAATAGCCTTCATACTTTTGTATATTTATACAAAGTCAGCTTATTGCCCCCACAAACTGGGTCCTCAATTTACCTACCTTAGAAAGGATGGAAGGCTGAGTCAACCTTGAGCCTGGCGAGATTCGATCTTACTTTAATTGCAGACAGCTGGTGTTAAATTACAGTGCTCTGTCTTTGAGCTATCCAGGCTCCTATTTGAAGGAGATGTAAGATATTACATACAGTTTGCTATGGTTCTATAATGTTCAAAGGCAGTGTATTTATTTATTTATTTATTTATTTATTTATTTATTTATTTATTTATTTATTTATTTATTTATTTATTTATTAAATTTATATACCGCCCTATTCCTAAGGGACTCAGGGCGGTGAACAGCGAACGATAAAAAATACATGTAATACAAACGTTAATAATAAAAAAAAACCAATTAAAATATACTAAACATTCTGGTCCTAGATAATTCAAGACATCCCAGTTTAAAATAAAATCAAAAAGCAATATAAAGGGAAAGTTAGGCCAGGCCGGCCTGCTGAAACAGGAATGTTTTGAGGGCACGGCGGAAAGTGCGCAGATCCGGAATCTTCTGTATCTCTGGGGGGAGCTCGTTCCAGATGGTGGGTGCCCCCACAGAAAAGGCTCTCCCCCTGGGGGCCGCCAGTCGACATTGTTTGGCTGACGGCACCCTGAGAAGCCCCTCTCTATGGGAGCGTACTGGGCGGTGAGAGGCTATTGGTGGCAGAAGGCGGTCTCGTAAGTACCCCGGTCCTAAGCCATGGAGTGCTCTAAAGGTGGTAACTAAGACCTTGAAGCGCACCCGGAAGAACACAGGGAGCCAGTGCAGCTCGCGCAGGAGGGGAGCCACATGGGAGCGCCATGCTGCTCCCATAACTACCCGCGCGACCGCATTCTGGACCAGCTGGAGCCTCCGGGTGCTCTTCAAGGGGAGCCCCATGTAGAGAGCATTACAGTAGTCCAGGCGTGAAGTGACGAGGGCATGAGTGACCGTTTTTAACGAGTCCCGATCCAGAAAGGGACGCAACTGGCGAATCAGGCGAACCTGATAAAAAGACCTCCCGGCCACAGCTGTCAAGTGTTCTTCTAAAGACAGCCGTGAGTCCAAGAGGACGCCTAAGTTGCGAACCCTCTCCGTGGGGGGCAATGACTCATCCCCAATAGTCAGTGATGGCACCAATTGACTATATCGGGACGTCGGAAACCACAGCCACTCGGTCTTGGATGGGTTGAGCCTGAGTCTGTTCCTCCCCATCCAGATCCGTACAGCCTCCAGGCACTGGGACATCACTTTAAGGGCATCATTGGGGTGGTCCGGGGTGGAGATGTATAGCTGAGTATCATCAGCATACTGATGATACTTCACCCCAAAACCACGGATGATCTCACCCAGCGGCTTCACATAAATGTTGAACAGAAGGGGTGAGAGAACCGACCCCTGTGGCACCCCACATACAAGGGGCCTTGGGGTCGACCTCTGCCCCCCTGTCAACACAGACTGCGACCGATCAGATAGAAAGGAGGAGAACCACCGCAACACGGTGCCTCCCACCCCTAACTCTTCCAACCGGTGCAGCATGATACCATGGTCGATGGTATCAAAAGCTGCTGAGAGGTCTAATAGGACCAGGATAGAGGAGCAACCCCTGTCCTGGGCCCTCCAGAGATCATCTACCAATGCGACCAATGCCGTTTATATATGTATGGTGTAATATTGGCGTGGAAGCAAAAATGATTTGCCAAGATAAAATACTGTGCACTGGTTTGCACAGCTTTTGCTTTCTGCATTGGCTAAAGCTCCCAGGCATTCTTCAGAAGTAGCCTGACATAAAGCACGTTGCGCTGTCACAGGTAGACATAAATTCATGTAGCCTCTTGCCTGGTTTGAGCAAGTGTATTTCCATTTATCTGTTCTTTACCAGCAACCTGGAAATCAAGGGTAATGGAGCAAGTGTAAATTGTAAACCTGTTACAGTATTTTAGGGGAAGAATACAATGCTTTCCACACACACATATCAGAAATAGAAAAATTGAAGAAAATAATCTTCATCTTGTCCATATTATTTGATGCAGCCCTTCATCAAATATAGGTAGCATTCAGGGGTATCTATTGGTTCTTTGTTATTAGATTATAATAATAATAAAAAGGTTTGAGCACCATTTGTTTACTCATGGCACTTTACTCCAAAACTCTAGATCAGGGCTTCCTATACGGTTTATCATCATGCCTCCCTTTAGTGTAATTTCAATGTATACACCTCTCCTAAAAATACAAACATCAAAATTAACATAAATGAACAATGAAAACAAAACAATGAAATTTTGAGAAAGGTGAATTTATTGTGCCAATGTATAAGTAAAAGGTTCTTCACACCTCCCCTGGACTCTGTCTGTCACACCCTGAAAGAGGTAGATGTCACAGTTTGGGAAACCCCATTCTAGATAATATCTGCCACCATTTTACGTGCATATTAAACAACAAAAGGAAAATAGTACACTGGGACATTCTTGGATAATGCAACAATGAGTCCTTTCCTAATATTTATTTATTTATTTGTTTGTTTAAATTTCTATACCGCCCTTCTCCAAAAAGGACTCAGGGCGGTGCACAGCCTAAGTAAAAACAAAGCATACAAAATTTAAAAAACAGTATTAAAATAATTAGATATTCTGGCCGTAAATTAAAACAACCCAATTTAAAACCAATTTAAAATTTAGCTCAAGCCAGCCCAGCTATATAACATATAACAATGATATAAGAAGGAATAAAATTATTGCAATATATTACTGCAAAAGACCTGCCCAACCAGACAGTTCTGAAGAATTCCATAATCAGCAGAAGTTGCTAAAATATCCAAGAGAATTAATATGGCTTTGCTCCATCCAATTTATGGTCTTATACCAAGAATGCTAAAACATTTGAAGTCCCACATTCCACTGAACTTTTGACCGAAATATGTCGAGACAAAAGTATCCTCTGGTTTTTAAGAGTTGCTAAATTTCTGGAATTTGTTACAGAAGGTGGTACTTCCTTCCCCAAGTCCTTCTATGATTTTTTTGGTTTATGGTTTGCCACAAAGTTCCTTCTTCTCCTACTTGCTTTTTAACAACTCCATGAAATGTTGCAGGCAGAATTATCTGAAGAATTGATTTGAAGCATTGCCAAGATGTGGATGTTAGTTGACTCTGCCTCTCACAGACATTATGCATCTGCTTATTTTATTTATTAGACTTTTATGCTGCCTTTGTTACTTTATAAGTAACCCAAGAAAGAGAATGCATATCATATTTCTTCCTCCTCCTATTTTCTCACAACAACCACCCTGTCAAGTGAGTTAGGCTGATAGAGAGTGACTGATCCAAAGTCACCAGCCAGCTTTTGTGCCTATGGCACAAAACTCACAGTTTCCATGTTCTAGGCAAGTATCTTATCCACTATGCCAAACTGGCTTATTTCCTACAGTGATTCTTCTGTTACCTCATACCGGTGCTATAAGGCTTCTTCTCTATATGCATTGAAAACTGTCCATTTTCTCAATTGCTTTGTCCTATATTGGTTGATTGGACAACTGAATGGAAATTATTTTAGTTGTAACTGGCCTTGGGTTTTACTACTGACTGTTTTCTTTTTGGTGTTGTAATTTTAAAAAATATCTGGGCTATTAATCTGTTTTGGATTATTTAAATCCATTTTGGGATGATTTTTGTGCCTAAAATATTTTTTTTAATGAATAAAATGTATGGTTATATACCATTGCCTTCTTCACATCACAGTATTGATCAAATTCCATGCCTTTCATATAGGAACAGGAAAAGTTCATATTCAATCTCATGAATAAGTTGGTTTTTATCCAGATGTGTTAAAGGTGAACTAAAGCAGGACCTTAGTGTCACAGGACTCACTACTTTGCAAAAGAGACAGGGCTTTTTAAAGCCTCATTTGTAGAAAGTAGGGGAACCCTAACTGGAATTTAGATTTCCTTTTCAAAAGCAAAAGTTTAGAAACTGTATATATGTACATGTTCTCTCCTCTTTCTTTGTATGCCATGTTGCAAATTAGGTGATAAATGTTGCCAGGAGGGGAAGAGGAGGAGAGTCCTAGCAATGCACCAGTTGATACTAGGGTGTCTTAGGTTTTTGTTTTTAAGAAGAAGGAAAATCAAAAAATGACCTTATTCTACTTGCTTCTAGAATTCCAGTTGTAATTCTACTTTCATCCCCTTTCTCTTAAGCATTGTATGAAGTGGTATATGGATATGTTAGAGGCAGGAATGGTTTGTAAGGATATAATTATATGGAATGATATAGTGAATGGAGTTAGCCTAAACTAACATGAAGGTTATTCATGAATGTATACACTCTTTTCTCCTGTCAGGGTGGTCACGGCAGTCAGGATGGGAGGCGACACGGGTGTGAGCTGTTTAGGACCGAGTCTGCAGAGGAACGAAGCCCCGCCTCCCTGCTCCAGGAGTCAGTTTTTTCGACTCGGTGGAGTAGGACAGGCGTGTCTATCATTCGTTCCTCTTCAGACCCAGCAATATAACAGCTATTTCCAGCGTGAACGTCGTGTCGGATTCCGCTGAGGAGGGGCTGTCGGCTGACAAGCCCCTTGGCTAGAACGGGCTCGTTCTTCGGCCTTAAAAACAGTTTGTGGCGAGTGCTTTGCTTAGGCTGCGACTCGGGCTCTGCCCTGCAGCCGGAACGCGCGAAGTTCATTCCGCGCCCTTTCCAGCGCTCCCTATTGCCGCCTCTCACAGACAGCCGCCCCACTCGATCAGGAGACTCTTCGGGCATTTCCCTTCTGCTGCGGAGTTCGGGACCGACACCGGAGAGCCCTTGCCGATCAGCGCAGTGAGTGGCCTTGTTTTTCCCCGTTTTAAAGTTAGCGGCAGTTTCGGGGAATTTTCAAAATGGCGGACGCCACTTTAGGCGCTGTTTCCCGCTCAAAAAAGAGCAAGGAGAAACGAGCCAGGGAGCCCGATCCTGAAGAAGGTTGCTCTGGGACCCAAACCTCTAAGAGGTCAAAGAAGCAGGACCCTCCTAGGTCTTCAGGAGTACGATCCTCTTCATCCTCTAAGCGTTCAAAGGACGAAGAGCGACGGCATAGGGCAATGGAGAGAGCCTTCAATAAGGCCTCCTCTGCCTCCTCTACTCGTGACAGAGCCAAGGCCTCAGCAG